GTCAACTCCTGGCCTTACTGAAGCCAGAGAGAAATAGCTTCCACCCAAAAAACAACCTCTAAGTGAGGGAGCGAGACAAGAATAGGATCATATTGTTCCCTTCTACTAACAGACGATACTTTTAAAATACAAAACAAGATTAGTTCAGCCAGTTAATCTTTTTATTTTAAGTTTTATAAAAAAATACAGAAAAAGCTTTGAGAAAAATGTGTTAGATATCAGCAAAGGCAGGAAAACATGTGGCTAGCTTTACAATATCAATCTAAACATATATACAAAGGCAAACATTAAGTAGGATGCTAGGGAAAGATAGCACTTTAGGGTCTAACTTCAGTTTTCCTTATTGCACATAAAGGTTGCTGATAATTCCAAGTCTTCACTTTTTCACAGTTAAACATATTTTAATGTTATTTTGTATAACATACTATAATGTTAATTTTATAAAACCACCAGTTTGCCACTGTTGAATGGAAGTAGAAGACAAAATTCTCCTCAGTTATGGTATGTAATCTCTACAAAAAGAGGTCACATCATCTATGTTAAATTCATTTTATTCTATTTTAAAAATTGCTTTTCAGCTATTAAATGAATATCAGTGGCCTTCCCATTTAATAATTTTAACAAATGTAAGACTTGTAAGTAAGAAGTACCAGATGTATTTTATGTAAAAAAGAAAAAGACAACCTAGGAGGAAGTGACCCTACTATGAAGTCACACTTTGAACGAGTGATTTCAGTGATAAATTCTAAATCCATAAACTTAACACCCACACAGCTGAAAAATCATTCATCTCTTTCTCCAAAGCCCACAACTGGAATAATCACAACAAAACTCAGTCCCTAAATGTCCATGTAATTAGACAGTCACCCAGTAGCAGTGGGGTGTTAACTTTTTTTAAGTGCTTCAGACAGAGATGCAGCGTTCTTCATGCTATTTACATGTCCTTTTCTATTGAGTTCCCCTAACATACAGGCCCAGATCATTTTCCACTGGCCAAGAGTCTAGCTGATCATGATATCTGGCAATTCTCTTAACCCTTTTTAAAAGGCGGACATCTGAATGACAAGGTGGCCTATCCCAAGCTCTCGCGTCTGTTTCAGACCTTTTCAAAAGGCAGCAGATCAGGCAGACCTCATCTTCTCCAAGGCTCAAGTAGCAGAAAACTGGCTGCCTATGTGTTTGTTCCATGTAGGCTATGGTTATAGTATACCCTGCTTACAAAAAGAAAACCTACATCAAAAACTTTGGTTTTACTCTTTACAATTTCTGCTAGCACTGGGTAACAATACAAGATGTGTTTGTTAATTTTTTTAAAAATTCTACTTATGAAAATTGAAACTGGAAAATACGGTTTACTTCTAAATCTTATTTTGAAAAGATTGTCAAAGATCCTACTTGATTTTTCTGGTTAGACACATTGGTTTCTAGAGTATTTCTCTGTATATTGTATTTACCAGCTTTTAGAAAGGGGGACGGTCTTTTCAGGTATCAAGGTATCAGTGTAAAAGCAGCATTCAAATGGGTTGTTTCTAAATTCTAACTCTTGACCACTGGATTCCTTCAACTTACTGTGTCAGAATGTAGCAAATTACACCAGCAAGTCAGATTCCCACTTTATAAACAACAGAAGAGATCAAAACTCAATTGATACCAGTCTAAAACTTCTGACAGACTAGATCCTACACTAACTCATCTACAGAATCAACACCAAAGGCAGGCACAAAGCTTGTCGAGTTCCCCATTTCTGAAGTAGAATAAAACGTCCATTTATTGAATCAGCTACACTCATTCCAGATTACGTTTGACAACAGATGGTAAAATCAGCTTTCTGATTCACCTCTTAGAACTCACAATGGGTACCAAGATAAATTCCCAAGCAGATGATTTCCTCTCTGAGTTGCTCAGCTGCCCTGCCACCAATGTCTAAGTGTATCAGTAGTGTTTCTACATTCAGAAATGATCGTTCACATTAAATATCTGACATGATTACAGTAACTTCAACTATGGGCAGAGAAAGGGAGAGATATGATGGAAGTAGGGGAAGGACATGAAACAGACTGAAATGTTCATAGATAGCTAAGATAGCATTTTTGTTTTTTTCTAAAATTTCATTTGTCAACCAAACCACAGAAGTACATTTTCAGGTGTAGAGATCACAGCCTAAAGACCTCCTTGCTGTTTATTTGGTGAAACATGTGATGTCACAGTGTGATTTTTGGCTGCACGGCGTCAATGCTTATTTGTCCAGTCACCCCAATAAGTATCCTAAATGGTCACTGTCCATTTAATCACATATGCCTTTCCTATACTTGCTTCCTTGGAAGAAATGCAGCCTTATTTAAATTCCAAAGTTCCTTTTCCAGGAGTGAAAGTTCAGGTCTCCTAGTAGTTCCCAAACAGAATATTAAAAGGAATTGTAGGACTTTGTTGTATCTTCCCTCTGTCGGCACTACACAAAAGTTTGCATATTCCTAATTACCAGCTACTAACACCACCACTACATGACAGCAAAGTGATCACAACCTTCCATTTAATGTGGGGCCTCTGCTCTGACAATAAACAGATACAGCTTTATTCTAAAGAGTTCAGCATGGATTCAGGCGTGGGGACAAGCAAAGTGTGAAGAGAAACAAAGTTCACTTGACTACAAAGGGGACTATTAATTTAATCCCAGGTTAAAATGAAAAGACAGCTTCTCAGAAACTCTCACATTTGATTAGTCAGCAGCTCAGTTAAGACGAAACCCCCCTTTTCCCACAAACGGAAGGAAAGATGACAGGTTTTTAATCCTCCCCTTCTACATACACTGAAGTCATCCTTCTCTCCCTCTCACGCTCTAAGGTTTTCAAATGGGACCTTTATTTCAGCTGTGCTTTATGGAGTACATTCTTGGGTTCTGCAAACATTAGCACAAAACTCCCTCACAGCTACCCAGTCTGTATTACTGACGAACACTCAGTTTGTTCCACATAACTAATGATTTTTTAACTTAATTTGCTAGGCCATTCTTTAACATTTCAAGTAGGGTCCACTGCAAGTTCTAGACTAAAAGTTCTCAACCCTAGCTCCAGATTAGAATCCCTGAGGATACAAAATACAGCATGGAAGCCAGGCCCCACTCTAAACCTACTGAATCTGGATCTCTGAGGGTAGGCTCTTATACTGATATTTTAAAAAATGGGCCAAAGAACCCTAATGTGCAGCCAACATTGAGAACAGCTCTACAACATTTGACTCTGCTGAATTGTAACCACCCCACCCCAACCCAACACAAATATGTTCACAAGATGACTTGGGATTACCCTCTAAGAGGAACTTTGTTTACTTGGATATACCATTACTCAGCAGTGTCAATCTTGTTTATGCCAGATTGACAGCAGATAGTCTTCAGTTAGATAGTTTCTGGGCCTGGTGGCACCCTACTTTTCACCACCCAGAATAGGCATAATGCTTCTAGAGGGGGAAGCATAGCGTTAGGCATGTTTAGATTTTTTTATCCAAACTTACAAAGCCCATGGATGACCATCAAATAAAAATGAATGTTAGTGTGGATAGAAAGGGGAATAAAAATTATTCAGTTCTATTATATTGAACCACATTAAGTCATTTCTCTTAAAAATGAATAACAAATTTCATATGACTAATAAATTTTTCTTGGCTTACACAAACTATCAATTGAAAAACAAAGTGTGAAACACTGTCTTATTTAAAATTAACCATTAGAAATATGAGTTAAAAGGTTAAATGGCTGATTCATGATGGGAGCATTAAGACCTGGCCACTATTTTGTCTGCTGTAGTAAGAGAAATGCCCACATTTAGTGAAAGCACTTTTTAGAAACTTGGTTTTCAAATGTAATAGCACTGAAGCACAAAGACAAAGGGAGAATCTCCAACTTGGTTTCCAAGAGTTCTCTCAGTATTTTTACTTACTACAGGTGTGGGCAGGTAGAACATCTCACCCACAAGAGAACTCAAACTGAAATCCTAAATTTGGAACCACACTCACACATGAAGCTGGTGCAAGCCTCCCCAAATACCAAGAAAATTACCTTTCTCTACATGGCACTCAGTGTCAAGACATCTATATTCTTAATCTTAGAGTAGACAGAACCTTCTACTGGACTGAAGAAAGCTTAACTTTCCACTGGTTCACCTCTGATTCTTCAGGTGGCCACTGAAATCTCATGCATTTCTTAGCTTGAAGTTTGGAATTCTATCCAGTCTTTAGAACACTACCTTGTATTTTCTTTATATTTATTTATTTTTCACAGTGAGATTTCTTCCCTCTGAATACTAACCTATTGCCTAGACTTTGCCTAACCTATTTAGACTTCTTACTGCCTTTTCTTCCCCAGATCAAAGCACTCCACAAATTTTGCTGTCTTCCAAACCCACAGTAGATATCTCAGTCCCATTCATCATGTTCCAAGCAGTTAGCTCATATGGCAGCCCTGAAGAATTGACTGATTTTTGTAGTGATATCATCATCAGTTTCTAAACGTTTTCTCCTGCCTTCAGGTTAATTACAAAACAAGAGTATAACACTATTTTGCCTTTGGTTTCAAACATTTCAGTAACTTCTTCTTTATGGAGATTTCCAAAGAAGGAATTACAATTCTTTCCCCCATGTTGAAATGTTGGTGGATATATTTTCCAATCTTCAGTCTAGAGGAAACACAGGTAGCAAAAGAAGTCAAGAATCCTGAGATGAGGTTGGTATCACACAGCCCTCGTGGCCAGAGCCTCCACTCAAATTGCCTTCTCATGTTTTCTGCCCCATTTAACACCAGCTTCCCCTAAATCCTTGGAGGTCCAATCTCACTTGCCTTCCTTAGCGATCTTTCTTCTAGCCTGTTCTCCCCTCTCTTGATGTTTCTACATCCAGCTGGATTTTCACTGCTATGTGTAGATATGAAGCCTCTCCTGGGAGGGATTCCCAGCACCTACCACACCTTGTTCAGGTACCACAGGTGAATGAATTAAGAGACCAGTAAAGCATGCGATTGTTTTTTGTTTGTTTAACTCAGAACAGCACACTACTATGTGAAGAAGTGGGAACAGGTCTGCATTTGTGTTGATTTAAGAGACACTTGAGCCCCACCATCTGTATCTTGGTTAAATTTTAAATGTTAAGATATCTTCAGACCTCAATAAAAATAGAAGCATTAGTTCCACTCAGTCACTGTCCCACCTCAAACAACACTGGAGCATGCAGCCAGCCCCACACCACTGAAGGGTCTACCCCATTGCTTCAGGGTTTGGGGGGAAAGTCATGCATTATCCTCCAGGGGGAAAACTAGGCGGGTGCCCCGGCTTGAGACCTTCTGGTCTCCCATTCCTAGGTCTCGTTCCAACACCTCCTCAGAGCTGCTCTTTGTTCTTCGACTGCCCTCTAGGCTCATGGAGGCTGTGTGGGAGCCTGAGGAACCATTGGCAGTCACTGTGCTGTCCCCATAAGTCAAGGTGAGGTCACCCTCAGTCAGGATGAAATCAGAGTCTTCCTCTCTCAGTGGCTCTTGGTTCTGAAAAGTGCAACAAACAACAATAACAACAAATTTAAGACTGGAATCTTCCAGAGCTCCAGCCAACTCCAACCTCAACTCCAAATCTGAAACTGAGGATCTTGAAACTTGTCTACCTTGAGCCTCTGGCATGATAACTGAATGTAAACTATAGAGTGCTATTCAATGTATAGCACTGTTGCCTGAACTAGGACTTGGAAAATCAGAAAGCAGCTATGATTTTAAATGCCTGACAGTCTGTGACAAAAAAGGAAGAAAGGGAAACCAGCCTGGAGTTTTAGCTTCCCAGCCCACGAAGAAAGGAAGGACTAAGTTCGCTGGGCAAACTTGAATATAGGTTTCAGTTCCTCTCTTCTCTGAGAAGGTCTTCTGGGTGGGGTTCCTGCTCCACACAAACTGTCCTAAACCCACCTGGTTTACATTTGAAATACTTTTTGCCCTCGTCAGCAGTGGAAGGAAGAGGACAAACCATTATTAGGATTTCTTTCCTATCCCCACAGAAAAACCCTGATGGGAAATTCTCAAGTAGATGAAGCAAGTGATACAGAGGGAGGGTACATTTTCTTGAGCATCTATTATATGCCTGCTAGGAATGTCACATAAGCTCTCATTTGGTCCTTACCCCTCTTCTGTGAAGGGTGCAAACACTTGTGTCACAAAGCAGAAAATCTGAGCTAAGAGAACCTATGAAACTTGCTCAAGGTTGTCTAGCTGGTAGGAAGCAGGGTTTGGATTTATGCTGCCTCCAGACTGCTTATAACCACATAAAGGATATGAAAAGTCACCCAATTAGCAAGAGTACTGGCATGGTATCTCATACTAAACAGCAGGTGTAGCAAAACAGACCAAGCTGAGCAAGGCAGGCGTCAGCCAAGTGGCAGCCGCTTGAAACAAAGATGGCAGGAAGAGTGTCAGGAAGCAGCATGAGGTCAAACACAACCTTTCACTCCTCAATGTGTTCAACAAGCCAAAAAATAAGGAGTGGTGTGCTCCCCTACCCCCCACTGCACAGCTGCCAAAGACTGTAGACTTCCTTCTTAAATGGCAAACAGTTTTAAAAACTGCTCTTTTCTCTCCTATTCCCTATCTACCCTTCAAAGCATGTCTGAAGTCCTGCATCCTGTCCTCTACACAAAATGGTCTCCTTGGTGTAGGACCTGAACTTGCCTCTCTGGTAGCCTCATGGCCCTCACTCAGTCATGCTGCCCAAGTCCACAGGCAGATTCTTCTATGTCCATGCCTGGATTCCCGATCTAGATCAGGAATCACCAGAGGGCAGTGACCTCCTTCTCCTTCTCTCAGCACCCTTCCTTGGGGTGCTTAACTTGTAGTAGTTGCTAGATGAATGTCTGTTAAAGGCAGTGACCTAGGGAGGACTCCTGGGTTCTCATTACCTCACTTCTCCTGTCCTAGCGCATCTCTGTGCACTTACTGGTGACAAGCACATTTCTGTTCTTTGCTGTGTTTCTCAGTGATGTTGATTTCTCCAAACTCCACAGTCTGACTCCACTTAACCAATGCTCCATCTTTTTTAACAGGCAAGCATGCAAACTCCTCTTGCTTGCTGCCTCAGATCCTTACTGGATTGAGGCAGGACGCAAATGTGTAATTAACTAAGAGTCCTCTAGTCTAGCAAAGGGAAATTGTAAAACTGGCTCCAAACTCCCCCAATTTCCTCCTGTCTGTTACTGTTTAAAACGTTCTGAAACTCTTGTCTTCCCTGATAGTTTTCTTAACAACAAATGACATCATGTTCCCTGTTTTAGCACGTTCTATTTCTCCAATTCATACTTGTGCTAAATATTTTTGTTCATCTCTGTCAAAACACCTCTCCCAGGACTCTTAGCACCCAAATTTCAGGAGGAGACTCTTCAGCACATATTTCATGCTTTCTAAGTTTGGAGCCTCACAGGGAAAGAGGAATCTGAGAAAACTGCATTTGAGGGTAATTCTGCACAGAGGAAACACGGTTGGAGCCCTGTATGGCCTCCTTTGACCCCTTGCAGTGGGAAGCAGGGCAGAAATTCACCAACAGGACAAAAGATAAGGTTGATCCATTCCATTATGAAATTCACAAGCCCATACAAATGGTACCCAAGGAAAGGTCATTCAGAAACAAGGACATAGTAAAACCCAGTGGAGGGGGATCTTCAAGAGCTTAATGAAAGTTGTATGCAGATGATGAAGTCAGTCTACTACTCCTTTGAATTCTAGATAACAGGATCAACAAAAGTTTGGTTAAGCTGTAGGTCGGTATAATTATATAACTAGTTGTCCACTGCAGGTTGCTATGAAAATGCAGCCTACAAACAAGTGTATTGTGGGAACATAAACATTTTAAATAACCAGAGTTTGTTTTTCTAAGTGGATTACATTTTCTATGTAGATAATAAATTTAAGCAGTTTAGAATTAGTGGAAATGGTGAATAATGAACATTTTAGATATCTCCCAAATAAACGTGATGTACAAACACCATATAGATAAGTGAGGACCACACAACAGCATGTCAAATAGCCATGACAGTGGCCCAGTCCAAGACCATCACCCATCTGTGGGGAGGCCCTCCACTATCTCCCATTTGGGTTCCTCAGTTAAGTTTTCAAAGACTCTTTGTTCCCACTCTCTCTCTCTCTCTCTGGAGCTAACTGAGACTCTGGTCAGGACTCCAGTCACAAAACAGCAGCAGAAGCATAGAGGGTAATTCTTCCTTGTAGCACAAGTCACCCCATCTTGGGCTGATTGTGGGGAATCATAGCCCAAACATTACCCCAGAAAGCAAACCTTGAGTAGGCTGTCAAATTGGTGAGGGAAGTACTGCAGTTTAAGTTTCTGAAAGCTTACAGAGCTTATGCTGAATTCAAACTAGTTCAGATGCCCATAATCAATGAGCAAGGAAATAGATGGTAAGCATCAAATTAGATAAGGTTTTTATAAAGTTTTAATAGTGGGTTAGTTCTCATACTATTACATAGACATGAAAAGTGACCATTATAAAACCTAATTAAGATGAAAGGCTTTAGAAACTGTTTAAAAGAGACTAGAGCCTGGAGGCAAAGAAACCTGCAAAGCCAACGAAACATAAGATTGAAGGGTGTAATCAGTTGGAGCTTCAATAGTGTGATATATGGTGATTCCAGGCAGTGCCTGCCCTGTTTCTGAAGATTAAAAAAAATTCAAATGACCCACACTGTCACTTTAGACACAGGTCCAAACTGAGCAAACTATTCACATTCAGGGGGAAAAAACAGCGTTATTAAATAAGCTATCAGCAGGATTAGAAATAATAATACTAACTTTTCAACCTACTGATCTAGTTGTTCAATCAGATCAACCAAATCCAGTGTTCTTTCTACCATGTAATAGCTGCTGATGTTCAGGAGTCCCATAACCCTGGTAAAAGTTTTCTCTGTTGCTGTGCAAAATGTATTAAGCATATGTAAGCTGGCCATTTTGTAATCATCTTATTGGAGAAGCAAAATCTGTGAATTTGGAGGCTGAAAAGGAATGCAGCCCTAAATGTACTTACATCATACACCTGGGGACTGGTCAGACATCGAGCCAGCAAGCCACACCAGGCTGGGAGAGTGTTGGTTAATGGGGGGCCACTGTGTGTGAGGATGGGCTTCAAGTAACTTTAAAAAGAGAGTTAAGGAAAAATGTCTGCAAAGAAAATACACACCCAACAAAATGTGTTTAGAATTCCCAACAACTAAATCATCTGACATTCTACCCACAAAAAGCCTCTTTCCCCCATTGTACCAGTACAATACAGAAAATACAGGCATACCTTGATCTACTGTGCTTCTCTTTATTGCACTTCACAGATGTTGCAACTTTTTACAAGCTGAAGGCAAGATCCTCCACCAGCAAAAATATTATGACTCCTTTCTTGTGGTGGTCTAGAACTGAACCTGTAATATCTTTGAAGTATGACAATACTTGTAGTACACAACAGTCTGAATCAATTATCATTTTATTTATTAGTTTTTTTTAGAGAGAAAGAAACAGAGGAACAGTAACATGAATGTGAGAAAGAAACATTGATCAGCTGCCTCTTGTACATGCCCCAGGAACAAACCTGCAACCTAGGCATGTGCCCTGACCTGGAATTGAACCCGCAACCTTTCGCTTTCCTGGCTGACACCCAACCAACTGAACCACATGGGTCTCAACCTGAATCACAGATTAAATTATGCTCCATCAGCCTTTAGAGTTAACTTAATTGTCTCAGGTTGGTGATTACCAATTTTAAGCTAAAAACATTATTTGGTTAATTAGAATACCCTTCTCCCTTCTTTTATGTTCAATGAGAATTTTGTTTTCAATCAGCATTCCAGCTTTTGGCATACAACCAGCTCACATCTTAGAAACAGGAGATAGTTCACCTGGAATGAAGGAAAATGTTACAGCCCCTGTGTCCCTCTGCCCAGGGTTCTCTGTAAGGACTCTTGTTAAACCATTCTGCTCCGAGGTCACATGATGGAAATGGTCAAGGTGGAAAGGACCTTAGATGTAACCTGGAGCTATACTACAAAGGAGGAAACTGAGACTTAGCAAAGTGAAATGATTTCACTAAAGTTGCTCAGATTTAAATCTCCCAACTTCCCATATAGGACTATTCACCATCGACATTTTGGGCCAGATCATTCTTTGTTATCAGGGGCTGTTCTGCATTGTAGGATGTCTGGCAGCATCCCTGGCCTCTACCCACAAGATGCCAGTAGCACCACCACCCCCTCCCCAGGTGTGACAATAAAAATGACCCCAGACATTCCCAAATGTCCCCTGAGAAGCACACTTACCCTTGGTTGAGACTACTATTCTAACATGAAGGTTAGCTATTATGTAGAGAGATCAGGGTTTGTCCGTGTGTAGATATTTGTGCTGCCAAATGTATGACACTGTGTTGGAAGCATGATGAAGCACATGTTATATTAATGATAGACCCATGACCTGATACCCACAGCCTAAGCACTATATAGAAAAGGTGAAGACTCAACATGGCTACTTCAAATGCAGGAATAGCCAAAAGGGACTTTAAAGGAAGGTGAGAACGTGTCACAACCACCTGTACCCAAGAGAATGACTACTTCAAGCATCATCAATTCCTGTCTTCATTTAGCACAGCACAAGAAAGAAAAGGCTTCTTTATAGGAGGAGGCACAAGGAAGACCCAGAGGCACACTTCTAGTTGGAAATTATTCAACAAAGAAGAATGTGTGGGCTATGGTGAAATTCTTTTTTTTAATCCTCACCTGAGGATATGTTTATTGATTTTAGAGAGAGAAGAAGGTTAGGAGGGAGGAGGAGAGAGTAAAGGGGGAGGAAGGGAGAGAGGGGAGAGAGAGAGACAGAGAGAGACAGAGAGAAAGATATTAGTTGCCTTCCATACGTGCCCTGACTGGAGATTGAACCCGCAACCTTTTGGTGTATAGGAAGATGCTCCAACGAACTGAACCACCCAGCCAGACTGCTGAAATTCTTTACAAACTGAACAAACTCCCTTTGACACCTATCCCTTTGACACTTATCCTCTAACTGCATTCCTAGGAACAGCCTCTACAGGCCTATCAGTTCTCTTGTACCTTTAATTCAGAAGCTGAAAGCAGTTGGATTTCTAGAATGACTAATATAAGAGTCACAGGGGAACTCAGAGGCTACCTCTCAGTTTCCTTCCTCAGGCAGTTAAAGACAAGCTCTCTCTTCCCCAAATACAGAAGAGCCTCTAATAACATCTTTAAAAGAGAAAAAAAATTACATAGAAAATTTAAAAATTCAGATTGTTGGAAGGGAAAAAATGAAATATCAAGTCTCTCTCCCACTCTGTGGTTTAGTTAATTACCATTACAACTGTATAGAATACATTTTTCTTCTATTTCTTGATTTATAAACTTTAGTCAGGTGCTTTTAACTGCTTCCTATGAAGGGTGGCAAATTTAATCCATTTACACTCCTGCCTCCTCAACTTTTTTCCTTTCTAATTTTTATTATAATTAATTTTATAATGCAGATATATAAAATTTGCATTCTATTTTATAATTAATAAGTAAATCTCCTATGCTTTGTCTATGGATTGAATCTAAATGTTAAAAAACAATAAGCAGCATTTGTAATAAGGTGGTTAGAACACTATTAAAGGAAGGGTAATACAATGTCATTTAAACTTTGTTAGTCAGAGTAGAACATTTGAGTGTCTTGCTAAATAAAGGATCTTCTTTAAATTTCTTTTTGATCTTGCTCACTTCTTCTGGGTTATAACAAATCACTGCTTCTTCAACATTGTCCCATTAGTTGGATTTTGTTTTTGTTTGATCCTTATGTTGTTTTTTACCCCTTCTTACACTGTCTGCATGGTGCTGAACTTTATGAATTCTTCCATGCCAAAAAACCACACTCACTTTTTTTTGCTCAATTTTGATTAGTTTGGGTGTAGAATTCCAGACTCAGACTTTCTCTTTTCATTCTAGAACTCTGATAATGCACAACAGTATGCTAACATTCAATTTTGTTATCCCAAATGGCCGAATTTCCTTCATTTTTAAACCTGAATAATACCCCATTGTATTCATACACATTTTCTTTATTCATTCATGCATTGACTGACACTTAAGTTGTTTCCCTATTTTGACTACTGTGAATAATGTTACTATGAACATACAAGTACAGGTAACAAAAGCAATTACCCATTTTTTCTAGGTTGTCAGATTTTTGGTGTATAATTATTTATAGCAGTCTCTTTTGACCCCTTGTATTTCTGTGGTATTAGTTGTAATGCCTACTTTTTCATTTATTATTTGTTTAAAATATTTTATTGATTATGTTAGTATGGTTGTTCCAATTTTCCCCCTTTGCCCCTCTCCACTTGGTATCCCCCATTACCTCCAGCAGTCCCCACCTTAGTTCATGTCCATGGGTTGTACATATAAGTTCTTTGGCTTCTCCATTTCCTATGTTATTCTTAGCACTCTCCTGTCTATTCTGTACCTACTAATTTGTACTTCTTAATCCCTGCACCTTTCCCCCCATTTTCCCTTTCACCCTCTCAACTGATAACCCTCCAAATGATCTCCATACCTACAAGTCTGTTTTTGTTATGCTGGTTTTTCTCGGTTTGTTTTTTAGATTCAATTGTTGGTAGTTAAGAATTTACCGCCATTTTAATGTTCATAGTTTTGATCTTCTTTTCCTTAAATCCTTTTAACATTTCATGTAATAAGGGCTTGGTGATGAATAACTCCTTTAGCTTTACCTTCTCTGGGGATCACTTTATATGCCCTCCCATTCTAAATGAAAGTTTTGCTGGATAGAGTCATCTTGGATGTAGGTCCTTGCCTTTCATGACTTCAAATACTTCTTGCCAGCCCTTTCTTGCCTATAAGGTTTCTTTTGAGAAATCAGCGGAGAGTCTTATGGGTACTCCTTTGTAGGTAACTGTCTCCTTTTCTCTTGCTGCTTTTAAGATTCTCTGCTTATCTTTCATCTTGGGTAACGTAATTATGATGTGCCTTGGTGTGCATGTTTTGTTATGTAGTGTCTTCATTTGTCTCAAGATATTGTTTTGATTTCCCTTCTGATTTCTTCATTCTTCCATTGGTTATTGAAGAGTGTATTGCTTAGTGTCCACCCACACTGATTGTTCTGTTCAGGAATGTGTTATTTAATGTATATATATTTGTAAAGTTTCCAGTTTTCCTCCTGTTAATCAATTTGAGCTTCATACCATTGTGGTCTGAAAAGATACTTGATATGATTTCACTCTTCTTAAATTTTCTAAGACTTGTTTTGTGATTTTGTTTTACTTTTTTTTTAATTTTAATCATGGTTGAAGTACAGTTTTCTCCCTTTTACTCCCAATTCAGCCCACTGTTTTGTGATCTGATATATAGATCTATCCTGGAGAATATTCCATGAGCACTTGAGAAGAATATACATTTTGTTGCTATTAGATGGAATGTTACGTGCATGTCTATTAGGTTAATTTGATCTAAAATGTACTTCAAGTCCAATGTTTCCTTATTGATTTTCTATCTGGATATTCTCTCACTGTTGAAAGTGGAGTATTAAATGCTGACAAGAATCAACTTCTTATCACTTTAGCATTTTGCCACCCTCCTGTGAACTCTCTCCAATTTTCTCTATATCCTTTCTAAGCCCAGTGAGTAACATGCATTATGGACTACAATGTAGATGAAGTTCTTATGGCTTTGAGATTCCCTGGGGGATTTTTTCAGTTAATAGCAAACAATAGCAAACAGTAATTTAAACCATCTTTTTAACTGAGAACAAATAGAAAAGCTGGGCAAAATAAAACAAGAAAGGACACAATAAAATCTTCTGCTTAATGGCATCAGAAAGCTACCATGGCAATGAAGAGAGACAGAATCTGGGAGAAGAAACCCAAGAGGTGAGGCTGGAACTTGTTATGCCACATTTTCCCTACAGGCACCTCAGCAACTGAACAGAGCATCTGGATGACTCAAAAAGATAGTACATCTAACAAAAACTGTTGTCCAGGGCCTTCTGAGGACAACTACATAAACACCCTAGGCTCTAGGGCAGAACTCTAGAAAAAAGGCTAAACAGAAAACAGACTAACCCTTCCCAGTAACTGAAGCCCAGCTTCCAATCACCTTCATTCCTGATTGGTCTAAAGTGATCCGCAATTGCTAATGCAGCAAACCTACTCACTGATGCCAGTAAGTTAAATTATCTCTGAAAAATGATAACCCCATCTAGAGCATCTCAAATTATATCTATACTTTTTCATTGCCCATGTCTGTCACTAAAAAAAAAAGATGCAAAAAAGAAAAAATAACACAGGAAAAAGATGACACAGGAAATTGGCTTCATGACTTTGGGGTAGACAAAGGCTTCTCAAACAGGACACAAAAAGTACTAACCAGAATAGAAAAGATCAATAAATTGGATGAAGACTTTTTGTACATCAAGATTCTGTTTAAAAGTGAAAATGCAAGTCACAAGTAGAAAAGTTATTTTTATCACATATAATTAGCAAAATACTAAGCCCAGCAAGTGATATGATTATATATATATATTCTCCAGAATATATGAGGAACTCTTACAAATTAGTAAGAGAAAGGCAGACAACCCAAAAGAAAAATTGTTGGGAGACTTGAACAGATGCTTCATAAAGGAACATACCAAGTGCTCAGTAAATCTATCCAAAAGTGCTCAAACTTATTAGTCATCAGACAAATGCAAATTAAAACCATCATGAAATGCCACTATAAACCCACTGGAATGGCTAAAATTAACAACACTGACAAACCCAATTGTCAGTAAGGATATGAAGCAACTAGAACTCTCATACACTACAGGTGCTTGTGTAAAGAGGTACCATCATCTTGTAAAACTGTTTAACACTTTTATCTAAAGTTGAACCAGTTCATGTTCTATGATCCAGCAATTTCACTCCTGGGTATATTCCCAACAAAAATGCATGTAAACATGAACCAAAAATCATGTATAGGAATGTTCATAGCACTATTCTTCAGCAGCTCCAAACCAGAAGCAATCTACATGTTCATCAACAGTAGATAAATAAATTATGATATATTCATACAATGAAATACCATATAACAATGAAAGCAGATGAACTAGAGGTACATGTGGCAACATGGATGAATCATACAAATAATGTCAAGTCAAATAAACCAGACACTAACATACATTATACACACATACATACATTCTATAATCCCACTTATGCAAAACTAAAAAACAGGTAAAACTATTAAGTGTTGCTAGAAGTCAGGAGAGTAGGTACATTTAGGGAAGAGAAAGGGATAGTAACTGGGTTATGGCATGAGGAGACCTGGTAATTGCATGTTTCTTAACCTGTTTTAGGTTAAATAAGTGTGTTTATTTTGTGATATTTTACTGAGTTATGACTTGTGTACTTTTTTACATGTATCTTATACTTCAATAAAAAATATGAAACATTTTTCAACTCTCCAAAGACCATATATAAGCTAGCTACATGCCTATTTGATCACTATGTCAACTTAAGAAACCATAAAAGTTTAACTTTTTTGGTTGTTAATTCTCACGTGGGATCAAGTAAATCTACTATAACAGAGTCTATTCTGCATGTTGCCCAGTTAAGGCCTGTATCAGATTTGGCTAGAGTTGATTCAGTTGTTAGAAATTAGCCTTCCGACTTCTGACCAAGACAGAGGCATAGGTAGATATACTTTGCCTTCTTGCACAACCAAAAGAAGGAAAACAACAAATTTAAAAACAATAAACAACCAGATCTGCCAGAAAATCAAACGGTATGGAAGTTCAAAAACCAAGGAGTTAAAGAAGAAACACTCATTCAGACTGGTAGAAGGGGTGGAGACCTGCAGCTGAAGTGCAGAGGATGTGCAGCAAGGTGGTGGCTGGCAGACCAGTTGGCCCCACATTTGCATGTGGATGAACCGGGAACAACCGGGAAGCAAGACAGACCATGCAACCCAGGGTTTCAGCATGGGAAAAGAAAGCCTCAGAACCTCTGGCTGTAAAATCCTGTAGGGGTTCTGGTGGTAGAAAAGACTGCCAGCCTCACAGGAGACCTCATTGAAGAGAACCACAGGATCCTGGAACATACACAAAACCACTTACCTGGGAATCAGCACCAGAAGGGTCCAATTTGCTTGTGGGTAGTGGGGGAAGTCACTGAAAGCCTGTCAAGAGCCAAGTGAGCACTGTTCCCCCTCTGACCCCTCCCCACATAGAGGGCACAATCCAGTGAAGTGAGTTACCCAGCCCTGACAAATACTTAACGATCTGCCTCTTAGTATGTAACAGGTGCACCAAGACAGAGCAATACAGCCCAAATGGAAGAACAGATCAAAGCCCCAAAAATAGATCTAAGTGATAAAGAGATAGCCAACCTATCAGATGCAGAGTTCAAAACATTAATAATCAGGATGCTCACAGAATTGGTTGAGCATGGTCGCAAAATAGAGGAAGAAGTGCAGACTATGCAAAGTGAAATAAATGAAAATGTACAGGGAACCAACAGTGAAGGGAAGGAAACCAGGACTCAGATCAATGGTTAGGACCAGAAGGAAGAAATAAACATTCAATCAGAACAGAATGAAGAAACAAGAATTCAAAAAACTGAGGAGAGTCTTAGGAACCTCCAGAAGAACTTTAAACATTCCAACATCTGAATCATAGTGGTGCCTGAAGGAGAAGAGGAAGAGCGAGAAATTGAAAACTTATTTGAGAAACTAATGAAGGAGAACTTCCCCAATCTGGCGAAGGAAATAGACTTCCAGGAAGTCCAGGAAGCTCAGACAGCCCCAAAGAAGTTGGACCCAAGGAAGAACACACCAAGGCACATCATAATTACATTACCCAAGATGAAAGATAAGCAGAGAATCTTAAAAGCAGCAAGAGAAAAGGAGACAGTTACCTACAAAGGAGTTCCCATTAGGCTATCAGCTGATTTCTCAAAAGAAATCTTGCAGGCGAGAAGGGGCTAGAAAGAAGTATTCCAAGTCCTGAAAGGCAAGGACCTACATCCAAGATTACTCTCTCCAACAAAGCTCTCATTTAGAATGGAAGGGCAGATAAAGTGCTTCCCAGATAAGGTGAAGTTAAAGGAGTTCATCATCACCAAGCTGTTATTATATGAAATGTTAAAGGGACTTTTCTAAGAAATAGAAGAAGATCAAAGCTATGAAGAGTAAAATGACAACAAACTCAACTATCAACAACTGAACCTAAAAACAAAAACAAGCTAAGCAAACAAGTAGAACAGAAACAGAATCACAGAAATGGAGTTCACATGGAGGGTTATCTGTGGGGAGGGGCCAGGGGGAGAATGGGGGAAAAGGTAGAGGGAATAAGAATAATTGGTATGTACAAAATAGACAGGGGGAAGTTAAGAACAGTATAGGAAATGAAGAAGCCAAAGAACTTATATGTATGACCCATGGACATGAACTAAGGGGGGGAATGCTGGTAGGATGCGGGTACAGGGTGGAGGGGAATAAAGGGGAGAAAAAAATGGGACAACTGTAATAGCATGATCAATAAAATATACTTATAAAAAAGAAAAGAAATTAGCCTCCCCACACTCCCCAAGCTCCACTTTCCTTCTTGACTACACCAATTCACCTACAAACATATACTTCCCTTGTACACAAACCTCTGAAGAACCACATGAGTCTACCAGGCTATGAGTGGACTAACATAATGATGTACAGATGTTCCTCTTGGCCAGAGAGATGCTCACCAGGACTACCTGTGGTTGAATGGTCACTGCCAGAGTCCCAAGACAGGACTGATTACATTGTAGCAAGCACACATCTTTCCTTACTTATCAGAAGTCATTCACTGGAAACTCAACAAGAGGATTTCATCATCAATGTTTCAGGGAAACCAGGTAAAAGGATACTTGTGGTCAAAGCTGTACCACAGCCTGAATAGCCACGCACTCTCCTGCTTTGTCCGGTTTCCTCCAGTGGAATCTGGACCATCCTAGGAACAAATAAAACATACTTAGTTGTAAAACAGGATTGAAATAAAGGGGAAAAGCTTTTTTAACCATAGTTTTAAATTATTTTGATATATATGAATCTAACATCCTGTACCACCAGGGTATCAAAGTTACGAGGGCCAAAAAACCAGAATTTATTTATAAAGAAATATGTATTTGTTCTTACATGTTTAAACTTAAGTCACCTTCAAAGTACTCTCCATTTGATACAATGCACTGATTGCAATGTTTTTCCCACTGCTCAAAATCATTTTTGAAGTTGTCAATTTTGATACCTTTTAGTGCTTCTGCTATTTTATGTTTCACTTCTTTTACATCTGCAAACGTTTCTGTTTGAGAGCTTTTTTCATCCGAGGAAACAAAAAAAAGTCACTTGGGGCAAAATGGGGTGTGTAGGGAGGGTGGGGCATGGGGGTCATGCAATTTTTGGCCAAAAACCACTGAACACTCAGCATGTGTGGGCAGGTATGCTCATAAATCACCCATCATGAAATGAGCAAACGCGTTGAAAGAGTCTTCAAAAAAATTCACTGAAGCCATGAGTTCCAGCCAAGATGGAGGCATAAGTGGAAATGCTTCACTTCCTTTCACAACTAAAAGAAGGATAACAACCAATCTAAAGCAAATAAACAACCAGAAGTGCCAGAAAACCAAACTGCATGGAACTCTGACAACCAAAGTGTTCAAGAAACATTCACCCAGACCAGTAGGAGTGGCAGAGTCAGGCAGCCCAGCAGAGAGGACAGGTTTAACAAGGCAGTGGACCATGTGGGTGAGGCAGGGCTGGCTGAATGGGAAACTAAAGACTCAAAGCTAGCTGTAAATTACTGCAGGGGTTGCCATGGCAGGAGAAACTCCCAGTCTCACAGGAGAGTTCATTAGAAAGTGGGGCTAGAATAGAGAAGCGAGCTAGCAGCATTGTTCCCTCTCTGACCACTCCCCCACAGACAGCACCAGCTTGCAGCAACCAGGGTTGTCATGCCCTGGTAAACACCTAAGGCCCTGCCCCCTTACAACATAACAGGTGTGCTGAGAGAAAGAAATATGGCCCAAATGAAAGAACAGATCAAAACTCCAGAAAAAGAGCTAAGCAACAAGGAGATAGCCAACCTATCTGATGCAGAGTTCAAAATACTGGTAATCAGGATGCTCACCGAGATGATTGAGCTCGGTCACAAAATGAAGGCTATACAAAGTGAAATAAAGGAAAATATACAGGGAACCAACAGTGAACAGAAAGAAACTGAGGTTCAAATGAACAGTTTGGAACAGAACAAAGAAATAAATATTCAACCAGAATACAATGAAGAGACAAGAATTCAAACAAAAATGAGAGGCTTAGGAACCTATGGGACAACTTTAAGTGCTCTGACATCTGAATTATAGGGGTACTAGAAGGAAAAGAACAAGAAGTTGAAAACTTATTTGAACAAATAATGAAGGAAAACTTCCCCAATCTGGGAAAGGAAATAGACTTCTAGGAAGTCCAGGAAGCCCAGAGAGTCCCAAAGAAATTGGACCCAAAGAGGAACACACCGAGACACATCATCATTAAGTTACCCAAGATTAAAGATAAACAGAGAATATTTAAAGCCACAAGAGAAAAGGAGAGAGTGACCTACAAAGGAGTTCCCATAAGACTCTCAACAGAAACCTTACAGGCAAGAAAGGGCTAGAAAGAAGTATTCAAAGTTATGAAAGGCAAGGAACTCTATCTAGGATTACTCTATCCAGCCAAGCTATCATTTAGAATGGAAGGGCAGAGAAAGTGCTTCCCAGATAAGGTCAAGTTAAAGGAGTTCATCATCACCAAGCCCTTATTGCATGAAATGTTAAAGGGACTTATCTAAGAAACAGAAGATCAAAACTATGAACAGTAAAATGACAACAAACTCACAACTATCAACAACTGAACCTAAAAACAAAAACAGACTAAGCAAACAAGTAGAACAGAAACAGAATCACAGAAATAGAGATCACATGGAGGGTTATCAGTAGGGAGGGTCCATGGGGAGAATGGTGAGAGAAGGGTACAGGGAATAAAAAACATAATTGGTAGGCATAAAATAGATGGGGAGAGGTTAAGAATGGTGCAGAAAACAGAGAAGTCAAAGAACTTGTATGTATAACCCACAGACATGAAGTAAGGTAGGGAAGGCTGAAGGGCTGGGGGGTACAGGGTGGAGGAAGGATAAAGGGGAGAAAAAACTGGGAAAACTGTAATAGCATAATAAATAAAATATACTTAAAAATTTACTGAAGCCAACTGCAGCCTCTCAGAGCAATGCCAGCCAGTGCACCGATACAGATGGGTTCCTATAACACTCACATAGAAGAGGGAGCCCGTACTACAAGGGATCCGCCCTCCAGAAGATAATTCTGTTTTGGGGGGGTCCCTCTTTGTATATTGGGAGGATATATATATATATATTTTAAAGATTTTATTTATTTATTTTTAGAGAGGGAAGGGAGGGAGAAAGGGGGGGAGAGGGAGAGAGAGAGACATCAATGTGTGGTTGCTGGGGGTCATGGCCTGCAACCCAGGCATGTACCCTGACTGGGAATCGAACCTGCGACACTTTGGTTCACAGCCCCCACTCAATCCACTGAGCTATGCCAGCCAGGGTGGGAGGTAATATTTTTAAAAGAAACTGAATAAATCCAAAAGGCAGGCACATCAATCCCCAAAGTGAAACAACTTGGTTATATCTGTAGGTAGATCAACTCAAAGTAATACAAAATTTCTTTTGGCATTCTTATTGTAATTTTCCCTGAAGTGCCTTTCAGCAGATTATTTATTGGAAGGTATTCTAGACCCTAACAGGCCAAAATTGATTTACAGAGAATATTAAAGAAAGATTCTGTAAAACCAACTTTCCAGGTCCCCCAAAACTGGTCTGGGTAATCTGCAGTTTGTTGAATTTCCTGACAAACCAGGCAAAGACTCTTTCTGGTCCTGACCCAGGCACCTGCATTATGTTCCAGATCGTGCAGTACTTTTCCCTACCCACTTTAGGAAGATGGGGGTGTTGGGCAGGGGAAATGGAGCCAGAACTACAATTTCTGTTCTTTTATCTACCCTCACATGGTAAGTTCCTTTACTATTCCTCTCATGCCTCTTCAATTCAATACCCCCATCACTTAATTTTGAAAATAGCTGGCAAAATCAAACATTCATTTGAGATTTAAGAAATCTGTTCTGTGCAAGTATTATGAGCAGGACAATTAATTTAAAAAGTGGATTGATTGCAGCAATTTCAGAGAACAGCTGGGGTTCTATGTTGCTGGATGACAAGCTGAGAGGACAGACTGCTTGGGAAGCTCAGCCATTTTATCATAATTCTCTTGAATGTTATATGGAGAGGCAACTCTGCAAGTGAGAGACAATCAGCAATCATCAAATAAAAGTTTAGCTACAATTACAAGTAGTTCTAAATCACAGTGGGTATAAATTCTACCCGTAATAGAAATACAGGTTCTAGGACTACTTTGAGACTTCTGAGAAGCTAAGCATATAGGCAAGTAGAGGGAGGGACATCAGCACGCACTATTTAATTTCCTAATATTTCCAATGGTGAAGATTATTTTTTAAAATGAAGTCCTCATGGTATTTAGGATTGTTTAGTGACAAATACAGGATGGGGCAAAATAGATTTAAAGTTGTTCATATGAAACATACTACAATAAATAATAATACAAGAATAAACTCTGTGTTTCACATACTCACAACTATAAACCTACTTTTGCTCCACCCTGGGTGGAAATGGCTTAGTTAAATGGGCCCTCCTGTGGATGAGGAAATAAAAATGACAGATTCTAGGAACTAACTTTATTTTACATTTTTATAACTCATGTGAAAGAAAGAGGGCACAGAAATATCTCCATTTGCAGACAACAATCATTCCGTTCAGGTAATTAACTGCTAGCCTAATGACAGCACTAGAGAAAGTGATAGGTTCTAAGCTCTCAGTTCTAAGTGTCTGCAGAATCTTACTGAAGAAATATGAAAAAGGTAGTAAACATCATCAGGGAGGATACTCTAAACCATCAGGCACAAGACAAGTCCCCCAAAGCCAGTTTCATCTGCTCCTCTAAAACAACAATAAAAGTGATGAACCCCTACTCTGTCATCCTCACCTCTGCAAACCAAAATTCATTGTCATCAACTGGAACACTTAAGTTCTTGCCATCTCATGTCAAGGAAGTGACAGAACACTTACATAAGCCCCAATTAAAATAAGTAAAGCAAAGTAAATGCTGCTTTTTAAAAACAAACTAACAAAAGTTCTCAGCTGCAAAGAGATATGCCTGCAGTCCACGAATAAGATTAAGTAACCTCAGAAATGTAAGAAACCAAGAGATAGCCCTGAACAGGTTATATGAGTGAGGTAAATTCAGGTCAAATAAAAAGTGCAACATTATAACAGGGGTGTTAAACAATTTCTTATTCCAAGAGATGGTGCCAGAAGCATGATTAAGTACAAGAGCAGCTTAGATAAATCTATATAGGGTGGGGTTTGGGGAAATCAGGGAGGGTCTGTGGAACAGGGGTGATTTTGTAAGCTGACCCAGAAGACAACCAACTGCTTCACAACTTGATTTAGGCTGTTATTTATCACAAACAAGCCAGTGGAATCCTTCCTGTGGGGTCTGAGCAGCACAGGACTGAGCAGGTGTCAGTGTGGGTGCAGGCTGACCCTACAATGATCAGGGCCCCCCTTCCCTGCTCCATTTGCAGACTCTTAGATTTCCATTCAAGTGCTACACCCATAGAAAAAGCAGGAACTTGCTCTGTTACCACACCCCTTCTCAAAACCTGCATTCCCACCAGGAGGGTTCACACCCCCATATCTTTAGCTCAGGCTGCTTGTAGCACCTGGAACACCCTGTTTACCCCTCACCTTCTCCTGCCCATGACACCTACCTGGCCAATTCCTATTCCCTTTTCAAGGCTGTCCACAAGGTTGTCTTTTCGGAGAAA